TACTATGGTATGATATTAAACCCCTGACGGGAGGGATTGTGCTTGATTTTCATATGATGAAGACATAATCTTTCAATTAGTATAATCGAGGTTTGGAGCTGGCATGTCAGCAACTGCTAGTAGTCCTTTGTTTATTTGTGTATCATTGTCATATTGCCTAGTTTCTTTTGTTACCTTTTCTGTCATCGGACTCGGACTTCTTTTAAACTGAGTTTTACTGTGCGTATTGCTGTGTGTTTCTTTATTCTACATTGGCTAGAGGTATTGGGGTGGGGGGTTGAGATCTCACAAAACATGTTTAACCCCGCCGCATTTTTGCGCCTGTCCTAAGTCAGGAGCTTCTGGCCTTTGTTAGTCTTGCATGTTTTTAAATTTTAGTTCATTTATATGTTTTGGAGTTTAGTATGACGTCCATTTTCACTGAACTAGTACACAATTTTTTTTAGGGGCCAGCTGAGGACCATCTCCAGGTGCGGGATTTTCTCGCTGCGTTGAAGACCCATTGGTGGCCTTCGACTGTTTTCTGCTATTTGGTCGGGTTGTTGTCTCTTTGACATATTCCCCATTTCTATTCTCAATTTTAATGACTAGATAGCAAATATGTCTTTTTGTTGAAAATTTACGTACTTTCGTTCTATTCATGACGTCACAAATAGCACTCATTTTGATTTTCCGCGAAAATTCAATGAAAACGGGTAAATTTCCATTGATTTCTTAGACAGGAAACAGAGCGCAGGTGTCGACAACAGAGACCTTTTAACATAATCTTTGTTATGACATTTTACATATCGGACTTAAATATTTAGTTTGTCGAAGCCTGCACTCTTTGTTTCCTAGGCCTAAATTTGGTTGAAATCAGTACGATATTGTCATCTTTCCCAAAAATCTCTATTTTTGATCTATTTAGGATGTGCAAATCAACGCTTCAAAACAAAACTTTGACAAGAAAAGTTCTTTTTAACTTTCTCACATGTCTTTTCGTCAATTTACCACATTTTTTATCTTGAAACATTGAACTTAATTATCGCGGCCAAATTTGGCCCTTACCGAACTTTTACCTTTCAGAAATCGAATTAAATAATATGATTACATTTGTAATTCTAGTTTTTTATTTAAGCCTATATGATTCGTCTATAGAATTTCTTTATGCCTTTGAGTTTTTCTTTGTTGACATAGTTGTTTGTTTTATAGTGAATAAGACAATGTTGACTGCTGTACCCCAATGTTTGACATTTTTAACTATTGTATCTGTTTGTTTTGTTCACACATTGTTGTCAATATAATGGAATTTTATGCGATTTTCATACATGTGAGAGGTTTAGCTAGCTATACAACAAGGTTTAATCCACCATTTTCTACATAAGGAAATGTCTGTACAAAGTCCGGAAATATGACAGTTGTTTTCCATTCGTTTGAGTTTGATTTTGCCGTTTGATAAGGGACTTTCCGTTTTGAATTTCCCTTGGTGTTCGGTATTTTTGTAATTTTACTTTTTTTTACAAATCCTCGTATGTAAATTCTGCCTCGATTGCATCAGTTTCCGACTCGTCCGTTTCACTTTCACTTTGACTTCATTGTTTCATTTGAATCAGAATCTGTGCTCTGTTTGAATTGTTCAGCGAGGTTTTTCTTTTTACTTCTATCGTTCATTTCCTACGGTGGTATAGCCGATTAGAAATAAGAATTTTATCAAAGGAAATGTCATCATGATCGTAAATTTCTCACACCGCGATTTAAAAATTGTATCTATGATACAACGTAATTTTTATACGAGATATATTCGGGGATGATGTTTTCAATTGTTTCTTTTAATGAAATCTTATCAGTGATTCAAGAAAAACAGATAACTACGGTTATGTCACATGGTTAAACACCTTGCTAACAGATTATAAAAAAACAACACTTTTTGTGTAATCAATTTTGTTTTGGTTGAATATCGATATTGTTATACATGTTGAATTAATTAAACAAATCGGTTTTGACAGATAATGATGATGATGACGGATGGCTGCTTTATGTTCAGCGGCATATTGTAATAATTTCTGTAATTAAGAGTAAAAGAACTTTTTAATTAGATCGGAATACACAGAGTCCGGTTTACAGAGGGTGTTTTTATAGAAACTTTTAAAGGGGAAAATGGAACTTCAATTTGCGGCCATAATGGAAAGGAAAGCGGTTTATTTAGGGTTCAGTTTACCCAGGTTTGACTGTATTAGGCTTACCTCATTTAGCGATGTATTTGCCAATAGACGTGGAAGTGGAAATTAAACTAGTATACGAAGCTGGACTATTATAATGTAAAGGGGTTGCATTAGTTGGAAATCGAGAAAGTTCATTTTACTTACGAATTGTGCGTGCAAGATACATACCGATTTTGTTAGCTTATATAATAAAATTCAAAGTTTCTTATTTGAATGACCCAATTTTTCAGGTAGAGAAATAAACGCAAAGTGCATGCAGACAAAAGAACGAGAAAACACAAGGATCCGGCTATAGCCTTCTTTAGTAAGTTGAAGAATAATTACATGCTTCCATGAGCTGTAATCACACTACACGTTATACTTATGACGGAATGTTCTGGACATGCTAAAAATATTTATCTTTAATTGTCTCCGGCTTAAAGGGGCATTAGCTACGAGATATTAAAAATAAAATATTTTTGTTCAATCATTTATGAAAGTGAAATAATAATTCGCTCTTAACAACCAGTTTTGTCAAAATAAGCAAAGAAACATCGCTAATGAATTATTCACTTGCAAGTGAATAATTCGACCTCATAGAATCCGTATTCATGTAAACTTTAATTGATCCCTATAGTTAGAGATGGATTACGCATGAACTAGGCGTGTTCAGTTATTAAATGGAAAAGAATGTAAACATTTGAAGTGAAACAAGGGTAAACCATTTGTTTTACTGATTCAATCTAGAAAAACTCATTCCTATACAGGTAAAACGATTATTAATATATTTTTTAACCTATAATATGAAATCAAACAGACCTAGAAAAATCCATTTGCACCAGTTCGCTATCTGTTTATATCTATGTTTATGTTTTTATCGGGTTATATGACCGTCGACAGTCTTCGGAAGTCACCTCGATGGTTAATTAGATGGCGTATTGACTAAAAAAAACACGAAATGCTGATACATAAAATCAAGTCTATGCATATTAAAATGTTTATTTTAGACTTTTTATAATTTGGATGTGCGTGTTAGTATGTTACAAGTCGAATGTAAGAATTTGAGTCAAATCGGTGAATATGGATTTGACAGCTAATGCCCCTTTAAGAAAGATTATAATAACGGTTAATAAACGATTTGTTTTGTACTAGTATTCTCGAGTCCAAAAGTCAGGAACTGCAAACCTTTAAACCATTGGAGAACATAGAAAACTTTAGATCTAAATAAAACCCCATTAAGGTTCAGTTAGCCTAAGAGTGTTGGGATTTTAGCTTTAGAGCAATATTATCGATTATTGAAGATTTAGAGTATTCTGTACTATGTTAATCTTGTCAGAACCGAGACACTGACTTATCAGCAGTAAATGAATGATACGTAGGCAATTTGTAAGTAAAATTACATACTGGAACTTTGGCGTGGCTCGGAACGTATGCATCCCGCCAATGTGTTGTGCTGTGGTAATTTTTTGTCTTCCTATCTTGCATTTTTGCTTATATATGTGCTTTGTCTATTTATCATTTTGCTTTTCTTTCTTGACATATTTGTTTGTTTTTATAGTGAACAAGACTATAACACAATGTTGACTGCTGTACCCCTATTTTTGACATATTTACCTATTATGTTTGTTTGTTTTGTTCACACATTTTTGTGAATATAATGGAAAGTTATGCTACTGTCATACAAGTGAGGTTAGACTATCTATAAAATCAGGTTTAGTCCACCATTTTCTACATAAGGAAAATGCCTGTACAAAGTCAGAAATATGACAGTTGTTTTCCGTTCGTTTGAGCTACTGATTTTGCCGTTTGATAAGGGACTTTCCGATTTGATTTTTCCTTGGAGCTCGGTATTTTTGTTATTTTTCTTTTTTTGTTCAACGACATTCCTCAATTTCAGGAGGAAAAATTTCACCTTTTGTAATAAACTTTAAATTTCTATAGAATAAGTAGAATATGATGATGATTATGATGAGTGGCTGTTTAAAGGTCAATATTCAGGACAAAACCAGATGGGTTCTTTATGAATCCTGCTTTGTACTAGACCGACGCACTTAGACAGATTTTGAATATTCTAGATAACAACCTACAGAAAGACATGTTGTCCTATCTGTTTGCACTAGCTAATTAATGTCACGTGCTTAGCGGAGAAGCAGCCAACTCTAATTTTTAAAGACTATGGTTTTATCAAGCCTAAGATCAAATCTACTAACTCCCACATTGAAAGCTAGCCGAGACCGCCTTCTTAAATGGATATATAGATCATTATCAATGTAACAGTAACCTAACAGCACAACAATAGGAAATTATTATACAATTATTGACTTTTGACGAGGCTGTTACAATGATTTATCAAATTAGGGATATGATATACACCGAGGGTAAATGTTTTATCTATGAGGTTGATAAATCATTGTTTCAACTGATACCCAAAGTCAACAATTGTTGTATTATCATATTTTTTATCCATCTCCAATTTCTAGTATTTGCTGAAGATATTTCACTGCTCCTTTTTTTACTAAATTTAGTATCTGCTTAAGCAGTTGCAAAACTTTTGTAAGTATGAAATATTTGATAGGATTTATTACAAAATAATAACATTGACATAAAGAGGAAGACAAACGAGATTGTGCATGACGTAATAAGCCTACGTTATTGACGTTGCCTAGGAAGCAAACTATTTATAGATACACGTTAGCTGTTCCAAATCTTATATTAACCTCTCGTGATTTTTCTCTCGGTGAATATAATGTTTTATCAAAGATTACCTAGGTTTTCAGCCAATGAGAAAAGATAATTTTTATAATCATATAATAAATCAGGTTATTCATTGTTGTTTATTGGTTATTCAAATATACACTTTACCATCCTCCCTGTTAATGTTGTATATTCTACTTTTGAATGCATTTTCTCCTCCTTAAACATACTTAGATCGTAATAAAAGAAACATTAATTAAAGTTATGATAATCATAATCTGCTGAGGTTACATAGTATTTTCGATATTTAAGATTCAGTTTTTTCCTTCTCATTCTGTGATCCTATGTCCTCTGTTAGCTCTGAAGGGAGGAGACTCTGTTAGCTCTTAAGGGAGGAAACTACAACTTCTTATCACTTTATTGGTGTCCTTTCTTGGTCATTTATTTCATAAAGAACAACTTCTTGGTCGTCTATTTCACTTTCTGTGCTGTGTCGTATTCCATATATAAAATAAACAATTATTCCTGAAAGAGAACCATCATGATTTTAATAAATGGAAAGAATCCAAGTCAGAGGCTTGCTATTTGGTGGATATTGTTTATTGCAGATTTCCTATTTATTTTTCGTTTCTTGTCTTGTACATAAATCAGGCCTTTAGATTTCTCGTTTAAATTGTTTTACATTTTCCATTTCGGGGCCTTTTATATCTCACTATTCGGTATGAGTTTATATCATTATTGAAGGTCGTATAGTGACCTATATTTGCTAACTTCTTCGTCATTTGCCCATTGGTGGAGAGTTAGATGAGTTTAATAACCTTTTTTTTCCAATGATATACATATCAAAAATTGTTTTTAAAGTATTTAATCAATTGGTTTTGATCAATATAGATGGCTTCACGTAATACTTTATAATTCAGTGATTTCGATTTAATAACCTAATGCAGGATTTTCGTCTTTTTTTTCTTCTTCAGACTGTTTGAAAAACGCAATGTTCATTTGCTAAAACGTAAATTCTGAGAAAACAATGTTCATGAGTGAAAAAGCAATATGCATTATTTATATCACAATGTACAAAGGTTAGAACGCGATGTTCATTAGTTAGAACGAAATGTTCATTATCCAGAACGCAATGTACATTAACTAAAACACAATGTTCATTTGCTAGAATTATTGTTGACTAATTAAAATAAAATAGCTAGAATGTAATATTCACTGTTCTTTATTTAAACCACAATGTCCATTAGCTAGAACGTAATGTTAACAAGTTTGAACGCTACACCGCAATGTTCATTAGATAGAGTGCCATGTTCACTAGTAAAAACGCAATGATTATTAGCTATAACGCAATATTCGCTAGTTAGAACTATATGTTCACTAGTTAGATCATAATATTCATTAGCTAAAACATGAGGTTTAATAGTTGGAACACAATATTCACTCGATAGAACACAATATGCACTCGTTAGAACACAATGTTTACTCGTTAGAACGTTATTTACCTGATTAATACGCAGTACTTAGAACACATTTTATACGTTACAACGCAATGTTATTCCTTTATATATTTATTTAGAATTGAACTTACCAATGAATAGCCATATACTGAATCGTAACCATGCTTTATATGATAATGATGACATCATTAACAAATTTATGAATATAAGAAGCAGCGGTACGAACGGCACATATGGAGTTTTAAACAGTAAACTGGTTTGATTCTGAGGCTGCTTTACAATGACTACAGTTGTTACTATTAATGTTATCACAGAAATTAAAAAACAAGCCGTAGCCCACCACGAACCAGTAAACAACGAATCACTGGCAAATATTACTATGAAGGAGAAAACAGTTGTTGCTATAATGAATATAATTAGTGCTATTGATGACGTCATTGACGTTGCATTTGAAGGTTCTATTGCAATTCCTGGAGGAATTTGAAACAAACTACTCTGACTTCCACTTGGTGTATCGTTTATTACACTATCCATTTTGTGATACGTGGTATCACGTGGTTTGTCCGGCATAATTAAATGATTTTTTGGATCTTTTGACAATCTGTTGAAAAATCCAATATTGTTTTTCTCAACAAAAGTCTTACTTAAATCGTTATTATTTTTGGGGTTTCGTGTAAATAAAGATGGATATACAAGTTCTGTGCTCTGAATAAATTTATCCTCATTTAAGTCTTCATATTCCTGGAAAAGTCCAACGTGTGTTGGTTGATAACGGACATGTAAAACACATACTGCTACGCAAGTGTATGAAATCAATGATCCTAATGCCAACATTTGAATTAACATATTCAGCGTCACAAACACAGATAATAGACTTGCTATCAACAAAGGAAATATAGTTAACTTAAAAACTCCTCCAGTGTCGGGATTCAGTAAGCAGCAAGGATATAATAACCGGTCCATTTTCATAGAAAACAACAACCTTGGTATTCCGTGTATGCTGCTGACCAAAGCAGCGGTTAGTCCTATTAATCCACCAATTGCAAAAACATAAAATGATCCATTTACTCCTTTATTTTGATAGACAGTAGGAATAGCCATAATGTCGTGTAGATTATACCAGGGATATGATAGTGTTACAGCCAAAGTCACACACATTATTATAACAAACGTTAGAATGTTGGAAGTTATGATTGCACGTGGGACAATTTTGATTGGTTCTCTTGTTTCTTCGCTCAAAGAACAAATACAGTCTATTCCAGTAAATATACAGAAAAGTGTTCCAGCACCAGCTATTATCTATCAATACAAAAATAATTAAATAAATAAATAATAATGATTGAAATTTATTGAAAAATAATTCAACAAGAATGTTTCCATAGTACACGGATGCCCACTCGCACTATCATTTTCTATGTTCATTGGACCGTAAAATTGGGGACAAAACTCTAATTTGGCATTAAAATTAGAAAGATCATATCTTAGGAAACATGTGTACTAAGTTTCAAGTTGATTGGACTTCAACTTCATCAAAAACTACCTTGACCAAAAACTTTAACCTGAAGCGGGACAGACGGACGGACGAACGAACGAACAAACGGACGCACAGACCGAAAAACATAATGCCCCCTTCTATCGTAGATAGGGCATAAAAACAGATTTACATTTAAAGTAATCCCCGCTTACGAAAATTATAAAAACGAGGGGAAAAATTGACGTGCTAAAAATTGCTTACGTCACAACAAAAATTATCTTCTATTGAGTCATGATATCGATTCACTTATTTCCCAAACAAAAAATATACGCAGTTCCGGAGCCTATGTTACTGTACAGATAGACTCCTGACAGCTATATAGTGTCCTAAATGCAGCTACAATTATATGTGTTATAGCTCCTCATGGGGTTCGTTTGCTCAGGAACGGTTGATATTTCATGGGGTTCGTGGTGCTCAGGAACGGCTGATATTTCATGTTCATCATGGGGTTCGTGGTGTTCAGGAACGGTTGATATTTCATGAGGTTCGTGGTGCTCAGGAACGGCTGATATTTCATGTTCATCATGGGGTTCGTGGTGTTCAGGGACGGTTGAAATTTCATGTTCATAATAGGGATGGTGTTGCTCAGTATTAAGATTTGTTTTTGTTGTGATGTTGCTTTTCTGTCTTTTTACTATTAATGGTTTGTATTGCTCCTTTTGTATTATATTCCTTTTTAAAAAAAATCATGAAATACGTTTGAAAGCAAGAATGGTTTATCTTAGTCAAACACACTAGCGTATAATTGTGAAGTCACGTGATATTTCATCAGTTATTACGTATGCCATCTTTCATTTGAGCTTTGTTATAAACTGAACCTATTTAGGTATCGATTGACGTCTCTAAATCTGTCATTATACTGACATTATGTTTAAGTGATAAATGCGTTCATTAATTATCTCTCGCAAATATAGAAATAATGAAAGCAGGGCAATGGACAGCTATTTCTTATCTTCAGAACAGCAACTATAAATCTTGACCAAATTATGACATGATCTAACCTTACTAGAATCGTTTAACTGATTCCGGCATTATCTCCTTGTAAATGTCAGTCCGTAATTGAATTAGTAGTAATGGATTTATTACTGACTCTCATGAACAGAACAACAGAAAAGGGTGTGTATCCAGTTTATATAACATTTAATATCTTTTAAAAATATTAATGAAATAAATAACTATGTAATACTAAAATGATTAATTGTAAGAACATAAAATAGACAGTAAGAAACGGAATTATTCTAAGTTATAAAAAAAAATATACGATTTCATTTTCCGAGAAATGCATTTCAATTTTTAGCGTAGGGTATACATGATTATTTGCCTTGCATCCTGTTTTCCTTTGTCTTGGAACCTATTTACCTTCCTTAGTTTAACGTCCTTTTTTGCTTTGTTGTACATCCTATTTATCTTTTGTTTTGCATCCTTCGTCTTGCATTCTATTTTCCTTTGTTTTGTAACTTTTTTTTGTTTTCCGTTCTATTTTCCGTTGTCTTCTGTCCTATTTACATTTGTCTTATGTCCTATTTACCTTTGTCTTTTGTCCTAGTTACCTTTGTCTTGTGTCCTATTTACCTTTGCCTTGTATCCTTGTTACCTATGTCTTGTGTCTTATTTACATTTGTCTTTTGTTTTATTTACCTTTGTCTTGTGTCCTATTTACCTTTGTCTTGTGTCCTATTAACCTTTGTCTTGTGTCCTATTTACCTTTGTCTTGTGTCCTATTTACTTTTGTCTTTTGTCCTTGTTCCCTTTGTCTTGTGTCATATTTACCTTTGTCTTGTGTCCTATTTACCTTTGTCTTGTGTACTATTCACCTTTGTCTAGTGTCCTTTTTACCTTTGTCTAGTGTCCTTTTTACCTTTGGTCTTGTGTCCTATTTACATTTATCTTGTGTCTTTCACTTTTGTCTGTGTCATAGTTACCTATGTCTTGTGCCCTATTTACCTTTGTCTTATGTCCTATTTACTTTTGTCTTTTGCCCTTGTTCCCTTACTCTTGTGTAATATTTACCTTTGTCTGTGTCCTATTTACCTTTGTCTGTGTCCTATTTACCTTTGTCTGTGTCCTATTTACCTTTGTCTTGTGTCCTATTTACCTTTGTCTTTAGTAAGTTACCTATGTCTTGTGTCCTAGTTTCCTATGTTTTGTGTCCTAGTTACCTTTGTCTTGTGTCCCATTTACCTTTGTCTTGTGTCCTATTTACCTTTGTCTTGTGCCTTATTTACCTTTGTCTATGTCCTATTTACATTTGTCTTCTGTCTTATTTACTTTTGTCTTGTGTCATATTTGCATTTGTCTTATGTCCTATTTACCTTTGCCTTGTGTTCTATGTACCTTTGTTTTGTGTCTTATTAACCTTTGTCTTGTGTACTATTTACCTTTGTCTTGTGTTCTTTTTACCATTGTCTTGTTTTCTAGTTACCTTTGTCTTCTGTTCTATTTACCTTTGTATTGTGTCATATTTACCTTGTATTGTGTTCTAGTTACCTTTGTCTTTTGTCCTATTTACCTTTGTCTTGTGTCCTATTTACCTTTGTCTTGTGTCATATCACCCCCAAGGGTGACTGGGGAATAGAAGTATGGTCACCATTGGTCTTCCTCCGACCGGCAGTAAAACCCTTGCTAAAATGGGGCGTCCGTTTGGTTGTGCGGGATGTACAAATTTGCAGCCACGTCCGGTCAGAATGGGGACGTTAAATCCGATGCCTCGTGTAAAAAGAGTGACACGCTCTTTGCACGTTAAGAACCCTTGCAACAACTCTTTGAGGGGTCCGTAGGTGACCTGTTGCAAGGCTAAATCTCTGTCCCTATCCAATATACCCTCATTTCCCGTGGCAGTCTAAATTTCTCCGACCTTCATCCCGGACCCCCCTATTACAGAACCTACCTATTGTATTTATTGTTAATTTGTTCTCGTCCTGAATATGCATGAAATATTTGCCACTGGACGTTTAGCAACCAACAATCAATCAATCAATCTTGTGTCATATCTACCTTTGTCTTGCGATATTCTTACCTTTTTTCTTGTGTCTTATCTACCTTTGTCTTGGGTTCTACTTATCTTTGTCTTGTGTCCTAGTTACCAATGTCTTGTGTCCTATTTACCTTTGTCTTGTGTCCTATTTACCTTTTTCTTATGTCATATCTACTTTTCTCTTGCGTTCTACTTACCTTTGTCTTGTAACTATTTACCTGTGTCTCATTTCCTACTTAGTTTTACGTCCTGTATATTTGTTTCACGTTATGTTTATCTTTGTTTTGCATTCTGTTGAACTTTATCTGACTTCTTCATTACATTTTTTATGCAATCTTTTTAACCTTTGTCACACTTCATTGTTTAAATTCTTGTCTTGATTCCTATTTATATTAGTTTTGTCTCACTTCCTATTTGCACTACCTTTGTTTTCTTTCTCCTGATTACTTTTAATTTGTATCCTGTTTTTTACTTTTGTTATAAGACCTGGTTATCGTTGTCTCGCGTCCTGTTAAAAAATGTCATGTTGATCTTTGTCTCACGTCCTGTTTACATATGTCACGTTGATCTTTGTCACACGTCCTGTTTACATATGTCATGTTGATCTTTGTCTCACGTCCTGTTTGCATATGTCATGTTGATCTTTGTCTCACGTCCTATTTACTAGTACATATGTCATGTTGATTTTGTCTCAAGTCTTGTGTACATTTGTCATGTTGATCTTTATTACACGTCCTGTTTACATGTCATGTTGATCTTTGTCTCACGTCCTGTTCACCTTTTATATCCAGCAAAATAGTATTGTAACACTGATTCAAACCCCAAAGGGTGATTGAGGAATAGAAATATGGTCTTCCTCCGACCGGCAGTAAACCACTTGGAAAACCGGGGCGTCCGTCTGGCTGTGCTGGATGTACAAGTACGCAGCAAGGTCCAGTCAGGAAAGGGACGTTAAATCAGATTCCTCGTGTAGAGAAAATGCCACGCCCTCTGCACTTGAAGAACCTTGTAACAACTCCGAGGGGTCCGTTGGTGGCCTGTTAAACATGCCTACCCAATATACCCTCAGTTTATAATGGTAGTCTACATTTCCCGACCTTTATCCCGGATGGACTTTTTTACTTGTTCTACCTAATGAATTTATTGTTCATTTGTTTTCGTGATGAACATGCATGAAATATTTGCCACTGTATGTTGAGCAAACAGCAATCAACCAATCAATCACTGACTCGAAAACGGTATGAACAAATGATTTTATACCTTGTCATGGCTATATCTAGATGTAACTGGTATCATCAAATAAGGCTTCATTATCTCCATTTCGAATTGGTTTCCTTCAATGTACCTTTGTTTCATAATCATTTATCCATTGCTGTATGTTTCAGTGTTCTGGCTTTAGAATAAAACGATAACCACCAAAAGCAGCGCAATTTCCTTATCTTGAATTTCTGTCAGAGACTTGAGCTTAGAATTATTAAAAGTTGAATTTTTGTTTTGAAGAGGATGGATTGTAAATATAAGATACATACCCCTGTCATACCGAACGGAAAAAAGCCTGGTGGATCCGTCCAATTCTCATGACGAACATGAAAGATACCATATAAGATACATACCCCTGTCATACCGAACGGAAAAAAGCCTGGTGGATCCGTCCTATTCTCATGACGAACATGGAAGATACCAAATAAGATACATACCCCTGTCATACCGAACGGAAAAAAGCCTGGTGGATCCGTCCAATTCTCATGAAGAACATGGAAGATACCAAATAAGATACATACCCCTGTCATACCGAACGGAAAAAAGCCTGGTGGATCCGTCCAATTCTCATGACGAACATGGAAGATACCAAATAAGATACATACCCCTGTCATACCGAACGGAAAAAAGCCTGGTGGATCCGTCCAATTCTCATGACGAACATGGAAGATACCAAATAAGATACATACCCCTGTCATACCGAACGGAAAAAAGCCTGGTGGATCCGTCCAATTCTCATGACGAACATGGAAGATACCAACACATATAATGCAGATAATTACTAATCCATTCAGCGTAGTCAGAATAAACGAAATCAGTGTGGACGCCTAAAATAATACAATAATTACTAATCCATTCATTGTCGTCAGGATAAACGAAATCAGTGTGGACGCCTAAAATAATACAATAATTACTAATCCATTCAGTGTAGTCAGAATAAACGAAATCAGTGTGGACGCCTAAAATAATACAATAATTACTTATCCATTCAGTGTAGTCCGGATAAACGAAATCAGTGTGGACGCCTAAAATAATACAATAATTACTGATCCATTCATTGTAGTCAGAATAAACGAAATCAGTGTGGACGCCTAAAATAATGCAATAATTACTAATTCATTCATTGTAGTCAGAATACACGAAATCAGTGTGGACGCCTAAATTAATACAATAATTACTTATCCATTCATTGTAGTCAGGATAAACGAAATCAGTGTGGACGCCTCAAATAATACTATAATTACTGATCCATTCATTGTAGTCAGAATAAACGAAATCAGTGTGGACGCCTGAAATAATACAATAATTACTAATCCAATCATTGTAGTCAGGATAAACGAAATCAGTGTGGACGCCTAAAATAATACAATAAATACTAACCCATTCATTGAAGTCAGGATAAACGAAATCAGTGTGGACGCCTAAAATAATACAATAAATACAAATCCATACATTGTAGTCAGGATAAACGAAATCAGTGTGGACGACTGAAATAATACAATAATTACTTATCCATTCATTGTAGTCAGGATAAACGAAATCAGTGTGGACGCCTAAAATAATACAATAATAACTAATCCATTCATTGTAGTCAGGATAAACGAAATCAGCGTGGACGCCTAAAAAAATACAATAATTACTGATCCATTCATTGTAGTCAGAATAAACGAAATCAGTGTGGACGCCTGAAATAATACAATAAATACTAATCCATTCATTGTAGTCAGGATAAACGAAATCAGTGTGGACGCCTCAAATAATACAATAAATACTAATCCATTCATTGTAGTCAGGATAAACGAAATCAGTGTGGACGCCTAAAATAATACAATAATTACTAATCCATGCATTGTAGTCAGGATAAACGAAATCAGTGTGGACGCCTAAAATAATACAATAATTACTAATCCATTCATTGTAGTCAGGATAAACGAAATCAGTGTGGACACCTAAAATAATACAATAAATGATTATAATACAGTTGATATAAAATGTGGTATGATTGCCAATGAGACAACTCTCCAAAAGAGGCGACGAAGTTAACAACTGCTTTTATAGGTCACCGTTCTCTGTGTCTTCATAAAACAGTTTTGTTGATCTGATTGTTGAGAAATATGTTTTTTTTTTGTATATGTAAGATAATGATACTCACACTCCTCATAATTAAGTACGAGCGTTAAAGAGTGAGGAAAGGTATTATCATTATTTTACAAACTTAGAGTATTAGAAAGTTCTATAGGATATTAAATGACTTCTTGGTTAGTTTTAATCAACAATTGTTTTCATGATCAGTGCAATGTTTAGAATTAATGGGTGACTTCCCTTTTATCCATTTTATTTATTGATTAGTCTACTTGATTTAAAAATTTCATACATTGTGTTTTATACATTAGATGACATAACAGTTCGACGAAATGGCAGGATTGTATAAGTTTTTTTAATTATGAGTATGAATGTAAGTCATGAAATCTTTTAGTGAGGAATTATCTTTTTGTTTATTTACAGTCGTTAAAATTTAAAATATAAGATACAACTATATTGTTTTCCACACTAGCACAGCCTATGCCCCTATTTACATAAAAATATTTTATTTTTAAATCAAAAACTTTTTTATTATTTGAGGTCATTAACTTAAATCTAAATGTTCAAATAAAAAAAGGTAATAATCGCCTTATGATAATATAAGAAATTCAAAAGTTAATATTGTAGAGATAATTCATGTTTTAATTGTATGATAATCAAAATGTTTTTTTTACCAAGCGTATTAGCTAAAGATTTAGGTTACTTTATTTAATTTACTATATTTTCCCGGTTTTTTTTTGCTTTGGTGATGTTTAATTTTTTGAATTATTGATATTCATATAATAACATTAACAGTGTCAATATGACTGAACCTGTTGAATTCAACTTTATATTCCGATATTTTGTTTTAAGTTCAATTTTTAATAATTATAAATCATATATTCTGCCAAGCTGACAAATGTGCTTTGGGACAAAAATTCATCAAATATGTCATGTTTATAACATTGTAATTCATTTATTGAAATTATTTGTTTTGAATAAAAGGATAATCCCTTATTAGAAACATGTTTTACCATTCATTATCCACAATTAAACACCAAAATCCTACAATTTCATTGGACGAAATCACTTTGTTACATTATAATGTGGTCTTACTATTTAGTTAACAGGCTGTGACATTTAATTGGGGGATTTTTGCTCATTAATTCAAAAATTGTCCAGTAGATCTTTCAAAAAATTATCGTGTAATATATAGAACGAACATGACCGTTACGGCAACTGTTCTGGAGGTATAATTAAAATTCTTTACATTACAATTCAATATGAAATAGATCGTAATGGTCAAATGTATGTCACTTGTATTTCAATGAGGGATACTGTTCGTGACATTAGCATGGCTGTTGTAATATGAAAACATTGAAATATATGTATCCAGCTTCAAAATTATGTTTACTGTGACTTTAATAGCCCATTTGTGAAGAATTATTGAAACGGACTATATATCGTGTAAATGCACAGGACAAAGCACTGAAAACAAAAAAAAATGTAGTTCCTGAGTGTTAAGGTTTCATTCTAGGACAAAGCATTGAAAACAACTGAATTGTAGTTCCTGAGTGTAAGGTTTCATTCTAGGACAAAGCACTGAAAACAAAGATATTGTAGTTCCTGAGTGTAAGGTTTCATTCTAGGACAAAGCGCTGAAAACAAATATATTGTAGTTCCTGAGTGTAAGGTTTCATTCTAGGACAAAGCGCTGAAAACAAATATATTGTAGTTCCTGTTTGTCAGGTTTCATTCTAGGACAAAGCACTGAAAACAAATATATTGTAGTTCTTGATTGTCAGGTTTCATTCTAGGACAAACCACTGAAAACAAATATATTGTAGTTCTTGATTGTAAGGTTTCATTAAAACAAATATATTTTCGTTCCTGATTGTAAGGTTTTATTCTAGGACAAAGCACTGAAAACAAATATATTGTAGTTCCTGATTGTAAGGTTTCATTTCATTATAACTATGATTAGATATAACATTTCTTCTTTATACAAGAAAGGCATTCTATTACATTTAGAATACTAGTATTATTTGTTTAAATAAATCATGGGTTTTGTTGTTTATTGCGTATGTTATTCACTAGATGTCATGAAGTATTTTTTAAATCGTTGTATAACTGTCTTATTGACTGCATCTTTTTTTAATCATAATTTTAATACCTTTCCTGATTAATTGAATAAGAAAAATTAAAAGTTTGTGATCATATTGATAACATATAACAATTTCATTATATTGATTACTATGAAAAGTTTTCCAGAAATAAATTGTATAAAATATCAACGAACTGTGAATTAAAACACTTTACCTTTGCGTTACATACGAACAGGAGAGAAGTTATAAACAAGATACCACACGATACAATATCTGGACAGTCGGTAAAAAATCCATCTCCCGTCCATTGTAAATAAGTACGGGTATAGCTGAAAGAAACAAAATAAATTATATATTTGATAAAAAACAAACTATGCGGAAACTCGTTCCTTTAAAATTGGTCTCTGTTTGAAATGATTGTACCAATTGCGTGATTCCGTGTTTTGTTAGATTTCTAATAAAGGAAGTAACAACACAAAAAACTCTGGTTATACACTTGTAATAATGTAATTGCACAATTTAGAACGTGTAGTAAAACACGTTATATGTTCGCCCGTGTGTGTTTGTTTGTGTGCAACTTTCATCATTTTGATTTTTTATGTACTATACTGGTTATACTGTTGTGAATTTTTGTAATTGTAAAATTTTTGACATGTTATTGAACGCATTTTCATCTTTCTGAAAGACTTTCATTTGAAACTTTCGTTTACGGAATAAGCAACATACTTATTTTCAAATAGATGGCTAGCCGATTGCACATGTAGATGATTTCTAGTGGATGTATGGTTCGACCTGCAAATGATGTCATGTGCAAGTATGATTCGACCTGCAGACGATGTAATGTGGAAAAATGATTTGACCGGCAGAATATGTCTTGGGAAGTATGATTCGTCCTGCAGACGAAGTAATGTGGAAAAATGATTTGACCGGCAGAATATGTCTTGGGAAGTATGATTCGTCCTGCAGACGATGTAATGTTGAAAAATGATTATGACCGGCAGAATATGTCTTGGGAAGTATGATTTTTCCTGCAGACAATTTAATGTTGAAAAATGATTTGACCGGCAGAATATGTCTTGGGAAGTATGATTCGTCCTGCAGACGATGTAATGTTGAAAAACGATTTGACCGGCAGAATATGTCTTGGGAAGTATGATTCGTCCTGCAGACGATGTAATGTTGAAAAATGATTTGACCGGCAGAATATGTCTTGGGAAGTATGATTCGTCCTGCAGACGATGTAATGTGGAAAAATGATTTGACCGGCAAAATATGTCTTAGTCCTGCAGACGATGTAATGTTGGAAAATGATTTGACCGGCAGAATATGTCTTGGGAAGTATGATTCGTCCTGCAGACGATGTAATGTGGAAAAATGATTTGACCGGCAGAATATGTCTTGGAAAGTATGATTTGTCCTGCAGACGATTTCTTGTGGAAGTATTTTTCAACTGAAGACTATTGCTTGTGAAGTATTTATTCGACCTGAAGACGATTGTTTGTGGAAGTATTGTTCGACCTGAAGACGATTTCTTGTTGAAGTATGATTCAACATGTAAACCTTTAAACGAAAAAGAATGATTCCACCTGTAGAACTTTAAACGAAGAAGGATATTTCAATCGCAGCTTTAAATTGTTTTATAATGTATAAACAAACAGGAAGAAACAGAGAAAGATAAAAAATGTACAACAAAAACACAACAAAAAACCAAACAGGCTGCGAATGTCTGTCTCACAATATAGAATAGGTATGTTTGGTATGATTGTCAATGAGACAACTATGCACTAGAGCCCAAATGCTGTACATGTTTCAAAGCCCATTAGTTGAATTAATCATGTTGAAGTTGGGGTTTCAAAATAGAAGTATCGGATCAGCTAAGATATATGAGTGCATATGATGATGCTGCTGTTATTTTCACTGTGTAGCATCACGACCGAATATAAGTACCCCCGAAGCGATGGAAAACACAAAAGTGAAGTCAGGAAAGGTCAAATTCTTCTAATTTTAATTATATTCTACGTTTTACTGACAAATAAAGTTGTATGAAACTAATTCCTAATAATATAGCTACTATTAAAGGCTGATTATGATACCCAGTTGGCTTTCTCTCTCTTCAGAGTCTGACCGGGTGGTACCTTTTAAACGAAGCGTATGACGAGTTCAAACTTGTAAAAACACAATCATCCTTCAACTAAAGTACTCACCTGTGTATTGTACCATTCAGCAGACCATCAAAATATTGACTCCATGCTTTTGCAGCAGCTGCAGCTAAGATAATGTTCTCTAGTATCATACTCCAACCAATGACAAAGGCTGATAGCTCCCCCAAAGAGGCGTATACAAAAACATACGATGACCCGGCTTGTGGGAGGCGTGTGGTGAATTCTGAGTAACAGAAACCTGAAATGGAAGAAGCAATTTCTTTAATTGTTTATATAGCAGCCACAAAATTACAATAGTCGCATGCTTTCATAGATGCATGTTTTGTATTATAAAGCTATGCATGTTTTGTATTATACGGCTATGCGTATTTTTTATTACCCAGCTATGCATGTTTTGTGGTATACAGACCATGTTTTTTATTAAACAGCTATGAATGTTTTGTACTATACAGAGAATTTTTGTACTATGGTCGCACGGTCAATTTTATTTTAAGCGTACTGAATGATGCCTTGTAGTAGCAGAGTAGACAGATGGCCAACATACACGAAGAGATATATTGTAAATAGCAAAAAAATAGTTGTAGTGTTTGAACTTTATTTTGTCAATATAACTAGTAGAAAAAAGTATGATTACGATGAAAGAATGATAACATCAAATTCTAAGTTGAAATGATTGTTCACGGACCCTTTAAAAAGACGTTTTATATTTTTGAACTGCCAAGTAAGTCGTGAAGATAAATTCATTGTAATACTTTACCCTGTATGTTTGATGTTAAACAGTCCCCCATCTGATAATATTATACAAGAATATACTATTAACCTGATTGAAGTTTTATGCAATATTTCACTACTCATGTTGTTGCAGCCGGAGATGACTTGACATATAACTATAATATATTAATCGATGGGATGCTTCATTTATTACTTTACACAGTCTGACTGGCGTTTCTTCACCTTAAAATTTATCAAAATTCTGCAAAAGCATGCATATGTTTGTAATGTATCTTCGTGAGGGAAAACCTGTTTGGCTTTTCAAAAATTACCACAAAAAATTGAAATAAAAACATATATTTTGAATATAATGCATATTCGTATCTGCAGATTTTTAATCAACGGATAAAACTAAGGTAATTTTTAGTGTACTGTGTGGACATGTTTTAAACAATCAATGAAAAGTAATTAAAACGATTTTTTTCGGTTATAAGAAAAAAGAAAATTATGGAAGAACAGTTTAAAAATCTTTTCTTTTTTTTTTGTCGTAATGCGAATTTAAGGGTACCGGGTAAATTATCTGTTTATATATATTTGCTTGTTATTTTTGTAAAAATTCTGATAGCAACTTGTGTTGTTGCATTAAAATAGTATCAATATATTACTCAACATTAAACAACATATTTCGAAATAACGGTAAAAGGACAATTTTGGTATACATCAACGATACAGCAATCCGACAACACATTTAGATAATAAAAATAAATCTTTATTTATAGAAAATGTGGAAGAATATAGCAAGGGAAATAAACAATATATAATAGGAAAGAATAGGAAGAAATATGAATAAATTGAGATCTTGTGCACATATCTTAACATTAACGGTACCAGTTTTATTGCTCCAGATGAGCATTTTGACAATAGATACCATAAGGGACTTACAGAACAACAGACGCAGCACTTGAAATTGGCTACTTCTAGGATGTACCATTAATAATTTAATTTCAGCAGCATAAGCACCGAGGTACTTGTTCCTCCTGATCAGATAGTGGAATAAAGAACCTAGGGTTCACAGAAGTAGCACGAAAACACTGACTACTGGTCAGATTATGGTATTAAGGTCCTACGGTCCACAGAAGTAGCACGCATACACATGCTCCTGATCAGATATTGGAATAAAGAACCTATGGTTCACAGAAATAGCACGAAAACACTAGTCCCTGTTCAGATAGTGATATAAAGGACATATGGTTCACAGAAATAGCACGAAAACACTAGCCCCTGTTCAGATAGTGATATGAAGGACATACGGTTTAGAGAAGTAGCACGAAAACACTAGCCCCTGTTCAGATAGTGATATGAAGGACATACGGTTTAGAGAAGTAGCACGAAAACACTAGCCCCTGTTCAGATAGTGATATGAAGGACATACGGTTTAGAGAAGTAGCACGAAAACACTAGCCCCTGTTCAGATAGTGATATGAAGGACATATGGTTTAGAGAAGTAGCACGAAAACACTAGCCCTTGTTCAGATAGTGATATGAAGGACATATGGTCTAGAGAAGTAGCACGAAAACACTAGCCCCTGTTCAGATAGTGATATGAAGGACATACGGTTCAGAGTAGTATTACGATAACACTGGCTCTTGATCAGATTTTAGCATTAAGGACCTACGGTCCACAGAAGTAGCACGCATACACAGGCTCCTGATCAGATAATGGAATAAAGAACCTATGGTTCACAGAAGTAGCACGAAAACACTACCTCCTGTTCAGATTATGGTATTAAGGACCTACGAAAAGTAGCATGATTACACAGACTCTTGATCAGAAATTGGCATTTAAGGACCTACGGTTCACATAAGCTGCACCGAGACACTGTCTCTTGGTTAAATGTTTATATTTATAACTGGCATCAGCGACACTGACAAAGATGTATTGATATAACGATATTAATGTCGATAAATATATTGATCACCAGCATTATCTATAACCATACATATTGTTACGGTTTTGTTGATTAATGGACAGATTCAATTATTACGCTAATAAAATTTATTATTGCCTTTTATCAGGATACTTTATACGGACAATGCCTTTCTCTGTTTTTAAGCTATTTGTTTTTAAAAGGTTTTTAATAAATAGAATGTTGTTACCGTAATCAGAAATGATAAATTTTTTAAACAAGTTTCAATACATGATCGTATCTAGTCAAACAAAATGGCGGATGATAATGTTCGACTTTTTACTGTGTTTGCATGTTTTTTTTATCTTGTATTCTGTGCATACTATAGTGTTGTCTTCTAAATTGAAACTATGATCCTCAAAAAGCATGCATATTTTACAAAGTTTGATGTTAAAGCTAATCTATTTCATGGAAAGCAGCAATATCATGGATTTAACACTAAATACATGAAAATAATAAACTCTCAAAAATACGAATTGATAATATGAAATAAAGTTTTGCTTCAATTGAATGATTCAGTATCAGATACCAAGGCTGCAACACCTGCTATTATAACAGACAACACTTCTGATGGACCGGCTTGATGTTTTATCAAACATGATATTACTATATATACTCCTTACCAGATAACAAGGCTGCAACACCTGCTATTATAACAGACAACACTGCTGATGGACCGGCTTGATGTTTTATTACATATGATAATACTATATATACTCCAATTCCTAATGAACTACCCATACCTGAAATGATACAGATAGTTATGGTATGATAGTCATCCTATCCAAATTTTCATTTCAAAAAATATTTCAAACATCTTCCAAACACCTCCTTTAGGAGCGTCTCTTAATTTCACTTGTTCTGTTGATCAATAGCGTTTGATTTTGGTCAGTTTTTATGGACTTCCTTTTTTTTATTTCGCCTTGGAGTTTAGTATTTTTGTTATACTGTTTTGATCACAATGGAATAAAGCCTTTGTAGATATCTCCTAATCATTATTTGTCAAGTTGATTTGACCTAAAGGTGCTTTTTTAGGACTTAAAACAGATTCAAGTTTTGACTTGAATATATTTTCATGCTTAAATATCGTTTTAAACAAAAATGGAGAAAGGAATCTCGATAGATAAATTAAAGATTCATTGTTATTCATATATTTGTTCAAGTTTTGGTGTCTCGTTCATAAGTTTTCCTAAATTTGGTCAACAACAATATTTTTTTGTAATACAATTATTATAGAAGCAATTATTGAATGTACTTCAATGAGGCAGCAACCAAACGAAAACAAAGAGATATCTTTAGGTGAACATACGGTCTTCCAAGTATTTATTAAAAATATTAGATTAAACACCACGTGGAGCAAGAACTACTTACGCTTCCAGTTCACCCCTGGGTTTTGGCACGGTTCGTGTCTTCCTTGAAACGGTTCGTGTCTTCCTTGGTACGGTTCGTATCTTCCACTCTGTACTTTTTGTGCTGTGTTTCGTTATCATTATTTTTTGTTTGTCTTTATGTATTTTGCTTTTAAGCGATGTTGTTGTCTGTTTTAATTGTACTGAGGATTTTTTTCGCCATCTTAGTATCATCATTATGTTGTCATTTTTTTATCGTACTGACGATTTTTATTTATCATCTTGGTATCATCATGGTGTTGTCTGGTTTTTTTGGGTTTTTTTTTTTTTTTTTACTGACAATTTTTTATTACCATCTTGGTATCATCTCTATTCTTTAAGACTGTATTTGATATGCAAAGATCAAACCAGATATATATTATTGTTGTAAATCTTAGTACCGGGTCATGTTCGATTTTCCTTTTGAGTTTTCATTTGGTACTTTTTTATATGAAACCATAAAAGATAAATTTGGACAAACATATACATGATATATTCAGGAGAAATATAATTTAGGGGTTGTAAAGCTTAAACGATTAATTAGAAGAAACATGTCCAGGAAACATTAATTATTGGTACTATCTTACGTTAGCTATCGTGTATATTCGATAATCCACAAGAAACACTTGTTTTATGATAAAGTATCTTGGTATCGGGTCATATAAGTCTTCGGGCGTTTTCAATTACTGACAGTTATAATTACAAATTGAATCTTTGGTAAGTTTTATCACATTAATGACCTATTTTTTTTCCTTTCCGAATTTGATTGATATTTACATATTTATTTAGTATTTCTTACATGATATGTTTATTTACTCACCTATTCCAATAAGGTCAAAAATATTTAAGTTTCTTCTAAAACGACTGACTAACAAATTCTTTGGATCGACATTCTTTCGTCGTCCGAATGCTTGAAAAATCCTCTTGCATTGTTCCATCTGAAATATAAATTGTTGATATTACAAATAAAAGACATTTTGGTTATTCATATTGTATGTGTCACATTTTACAATTTACAAACTTTTGAACATCCTTTGGATTTCTGGAAAAGTGTTGGCATGGACAAACTGTCAATAATCGCAAATTGTTTTAAAATTATTTCCAACATGCTTGTTCAAATTAGATATCATTCAATAGGTTTATTTTTATAAATTATAAGAGTGATTCCACCGAATTCTAAGATCAGTTCTTTCTGGATTTTTGTCTTTCTTTGAATGTACAACTGAATAAGCCAAAAATATCGTATTAATGATTATAATCATTACATGTTACGTTTGAGAAATGTTGTTTAACACTGATAAATTACTGTTGCCTCTTAAGTAGACGAATATATTCTTTTGTTGTCATATATCTGGAGGAAAATAAAAGTTTGCAAGAAAACATATTTGTTCCATCAATTAAAAAAAACTCGCTCCACTGAAAAATCTATAAATATTTCTTTTTTTATTCAGATGCCATGTATTTGGCAAAACTTTTAGGAATTTTTATTCCTCAATGCTCGTCAACTTTTGGCCTTTTTAACTTTTTTCATTCGAGCGTCACCGATGAGTCTTTTGTAGACGAAACGTGCGTCTGGCGTAAATAATTTCAATCTTGTATCTATGATGAGTTTATATATTATGCAGATACGAATAAAAGGAAATATGCAGTACCTGTCAATGCGACAGCTACTTAACGACACAAATAAGAAATGCTATCTTCCAAAATAGACATATCTCAATAAATGCTCTACATCGCCTTTGTGTAGAAAAATTTGGGATACATTAGCAAAAATTGAATATAACTGTCATTCCCCTAATGACAACACCCGCATAAATGGGGACAACCACTAATTATCGAGGTTTCTCATTTACTATATGCATATGAACATGGTGAATATATGCTTGGATTTACAGAAATGGAAACTGTTTTAGTGTTTAGATGCCAATTATCACACTGTAGTCTTTGTTACACTAATGGTTTAAGGTCTCAACCATCTCACTTAAATTTTGGTTATTTAAATAGTCAAAAGTACATACAATAAGAATAAAACATTTATATAAAAGGCACGGTATCTCATAATAATAGCTGTATTACAGAAAAAAACATATTTAATCATTAGACATCATTGATCAAGCAGTTTTCTTTTTTTTTGGTAAAACTATAAAATGTGTCGATTGTATGTTCATTTTATTGAGTTGCATATCTGTAATCAAAAAGTTTATAAAGCATCATAAAAGTTAGTTTGTGTTGTATCTAGAAAAAGCAACACTTCCAATAGCTAACAGTAACAACGATATGGATGCATCGAAGGTTAATAAAACTACAAAAACAAATAACAAAATGAAATGAAAAAGAAAAGAAACAAACAAAAGACATGTTTGACTACCTTGTAGAAGTCATCAATAATTGATTACTTAGTTATACACAGAGGAAATCATCAATAAAACATTAGACCTACTGTAAGATGTGATATCTTGCTCGTCAAGTTTATTGTTTTATGAAGTCAAAGCAATCGTAAAAACGACATGAAAGCATCGTAATGGCTGATTCTTCTACATTACCATGTTGTGGTTTGTATACAAAGTGACTGACTTGAACAGGGTTGATTTATGTCCACAATATATAATCTGATTGTCTTCTGGGGATTATTACAAACAAGGTCTACAGTAATGGACAAACATGAAGTGACAGCACGGAAACGATTATTACAAACAAGGTCTAGAGTAATGGCCAAACATGAAGTGACAGCACGAAAACGATAATTACAAACAAGTTCTACAGTAATGGCCAAACATGAAGTGACAGCACGAAAACGATTATTACAAACAAGTTCTAGAGTAATGGCCAAACATGAAATGACAGCACGGAAACGATTATTACAAACAAGTTCTAGAGTAATGGCCAAACATGAAATGACAGCACGGAAACGATTATTACAAACAAGTTCTAGAGTAATGGCCAAACATGAAATGACAGCACGGAAACGATTATTACAAACAAGTTCTAGAGTAATGGCCAAACATGAAGTGACAGCACGAAAACGATTATTACAAACAAATTCTAGAGTAATGGCCAAACATGAAATGACAGCACGGAAACGATTATTACAAGCAAGTTCTACAGTAATGGCCAAACATGAAGTGACAGCACGAAAACGATTATTACAAACAAGTTCTAGAGTAATGGCCAAACATGAAGTGACAGCACGAAAACGATTATTACAAACAAGTTCTACAGTAACTGACAAACATGAAGTGACAGCACGAAAACGATTATTACAAACAAGGTCTACAGTAACTGCCAAACATGAAGTGACAGCACAAAAACGATTATTACAAACAAGTTCTAGAGTAATGGCCAAACATGAAGTGACAGCACGAAAACGATTATAACAAACAAGTTCTACAGTAATGGGCAAACATGAAGTGACAGCACGAAAACGATTATTACAGACAATTTCTAGAGTAATGGCCAAACATAAAATGACAGCACGGAAACGATTATTACAAACAAGTTCTAGAGTAATGGCCAAACATGAAATGACAGCACGGAAACGATTATTACAAACAAGTTCTAGAGTAATGGCCAAACATGAAGTGACAGCATGAAAACGATTATTACAAACAAGTTCTACAGTAATGGACAAAAATGTAGTGCAGCCCAAAAGAGATTATTACAAACAAGTTATACAGTAATTGACAAAATGAAGTGCCAGCCCAAAAGAGATTATTACAAACAAGTTTTACAGTAATGGACAAAAATGAAGTGACAACACAAAATGGAGTATTGAAAACAAGTTCTACAGTGATGGACAAACAAGAATTTTACAGATCTGATGCCATAATGAATGATCCTATAACAACTTTACATATTTTTATTTGATGTCATAATGAATGATCCAATAACAAATTTACATATTTTTATTTGATGTCATAATGAATGATGCAATAAAAAGATAATGGTTCACATTTAAAAAATTGGATAGCGAGCATTTAAAGTTACTGAAAGGATTTAATGATATGCCTGTTAATACTGTATAACTTCATTAATATAAATTGAAATTAACACTATTCCGTGGGGGAGAAATTAAATATTCGAAGTGTACTGTAATTTTAACGGTTCAGGTTGTAAGTACATGATTTGTGTTACATGACGTTTCAGCATTCCTTTCTGGAAACTCAAGTTTACATTTTTATGTTGTCGGTAGCTTTTACTCGAAAAGCAAATTTCGAGCATGTGATTTTTTATGTAGAAAGTTGTGCACATTCTTGGAAAAGTCTCGTTAATTCCGGGCGAAGACTTGTTATTTCTGGGCGGACAGTTTTTTCCAGCAATAGAGTGAAACGGTAGCTCCACTTTGACATTTCTATTAAGTAGTTAAATCTGCAGAATATGTTACACCTGATAAAGGTAGGAATATGTAAACGAAGGAGTAATGTAAAGCTTTGCCGGTCTTTGCACTTAAGGTTAAAGAATTGGATCTTAATAAAAGGAATAGCGAGATATTTATGAATGTAACAAAAAACCAATCAAACGATATCATTTAAAAACAATGTAAATAGATAAAAGCAACAACAAAAACATATAAAATAAAAAAAAAGGACATCAGTTTAAAACGCCAGGCTCTAAATCGCTCCGAGTATGAAACAGATGTAATCGATTTCTGTTGTCCTCATATTGACTTACTTGACTCTTTAGTTATTATTTAAATTTTTAACTTTGCATATTGACTGCTTCTTATACCACTTCGAACATTTAATTACTACCCTCATGGCCTTAGTAATGTGTTGTACATTTGTGATTATAATTACTTTCGATATCGTCCTGTTGCTTTATTAGAAAAGAACCAATAAGCTGCACGTAATTAAAAAGTAAAACCAAATAAAAGTGATACTTGACTTGTCACAGCAGCTACGAAAATATAACCTAGGGGAAAATACAGAAGAGTTATTACCTTTTACTGTTCATTAAAGTCACTTAAAAAGTGAAATGAGGAATTTCCTCCAGAAATTTTATCTGTTGAGAAGGCAAGGATTCTCACACAGATCTCTATTAATCAATAATTATACTCAATAAAACATTTGTATCCAGATAGGTAACATGACAATAATAATAAAAGTAACATTAATAATAAAAATAACATTGATTATGAAAATAACATTAATAATTAAAATAATAATTATATTGATAATAATAACTAGAGGCTCTCAAGAGCCTGTGTCGCTCACCTGTATCTACTGTGGTTTTGTAAATCATGTAAAATAAGGTTAAAGACATATAGAAACCCTAATAATGATTGAGGCCAAGTTTTGTTTAATTTGGCCCAGTAGTTAAATTAAAAGCAGAAGATTTTTGAAAAAATTTACAAAAATTACCAATAAATTGCAGAAAATATCTTTAAAGGACAATAACTCCAATAAGATGTCAATTGCCAATTGATCATGTTAACGTATTTGTAGATCTTTCTTTGCTTGATAATTTTGCTGTTTACAGTATATCTCAATCTATAATGATATTCAAGATAATTAACGAAAATAAAAAAAATCCTTTCCTCCGCTCCAAATTTTTTTTCACCCAGGGCCTGTATAATGCTGAAAACGCCGGGTGTGGGGGGCATTCGCCCAATATAAGTATGCTGAAAGAAAAGATATAATAATGGTTTATAAAAAGTACCACTGAATAATTCTGAAAATTGAACATATCAAGGAGAAATAATTAGCACCCCACCCCCCCCCCCCCCTGAAAAAATTGCACCCCCTGGAAAAAAATCAAGTCATCCCATTGTAGTCTTACAATAGTTACTGAAGACCCTTTATCATTATTTAAATTAGTTTTCAAGTTGTGACCGTTAAAATTTTTTTTTACATTTTTCCCATAGACTTCTATAGTAAACCCCTATATTCTATTGTTACCAATGGGACCATCTTGGTTGTAGGGCAGGGTCATAGGACACATT